AAATAGCCGGCCAGAAATTTTTCACTGGAGTATTTCAACCTACAAACAACAGACGCGGTGTTAAAAAAAAAAAAATTGAAGCCCATAATGTTTATTCGGACTCTATTCAGTGCACTGCAGTTTTGACCGCGTACGCGGTGTAAGTTAAAGGCACCATCCACTCCCTTTCGATGTTGTTTATGTTTGCGAGTCAATGTAAAAGGATAGCTACCATAATAGCACACTGGTCATCTCTGAGAAAAAGGTCGCTGAGAAATAGAAGATTCATCATGTCTTTCGAAGCCAACCGGTGGATTCGCCGCAGTGGCTTGGCATGACTCCGCCTTCTTTTAAGCGGCTTTGATGAATGTAAAATCGTTAATTTCTTTCTTTGTCGACGTTTGTGTGAGATTTAGGAGAAAATAAAAGTTGATTTGCACTTGTTATCCTAATTTGTTTTTTATTTTTAATGTCTATCATGGTACAGCTTACCCCTAGCTGCCTCAAAGAAAATCGTTGGGCCAACTAGAGTGAGCTGATCTTCATTATAGAGGAGGTCTTGCTCTAGACAAGCGTTTTTTAATCTGTGGTCCGCGGATCCCCAGGGGTATTTGAAAGCACTCGTATGGGTCCACGGCAAATAACAAAAAGCCGCTCTAAAGAAAAAAATTATCTAACGCAATCTCATAAGACCTCTGATGCAGAATGCATTGGGGGTCCTCTAACGGCCTCCGAGTGGGTCCGGAGGTCAGTGACGGCCAAAAGTTTGAGAACCATTGCTCTAGATATGTTTGGTCGGGCTCTTCTCAGTGCGAAGGGGCACGGAGGGGCACGGCATAGTGCTCGACGAACATTGCTCTGAGCTGCAGCGCTAATATTTCACTGAGGCTCAAGTGTAAATTGCCCAGGATCATTAGTAACGCCGATCACATTCTGAACCTGATGCTACAATAATGTGACGATGCGTGTGCGTCCTCAGCACAGCAGCCACGTAGAGTCGGCAGCAAAAGTTTGCGGGGCACGAGAGCGCCAGCCGAAATGACAGGTTGCGCCTTCCGATGGTGTGCGGTCGCTTTAAAAACTCACGCTTCGAGAATGTGCTTCTTTTTGTGTTCGCAGTCATGTCGTTTTCATTTGCTTCCGTCCGACGAGCACGAGATGACCGAGACCGGAGCAACGTGCCGCTTTGTGAGTCGTCATACAGCACGTCTGCCTCAGCCGCACCGTGATTGGTGACGGTGCTCGGATGCTTTAGATAACATTTCGCGGCACCTGGTGCCAATCCCAGTTATCACTGGCGCGTCAGACAAAAGCCAGGGAAGCCAGAAAAAAAAAATCTGCAAACACAGTAGCAAGCGCTTGAGCAAAACATGAGTCTCGAGAGCGGCAACATGCCAACAAAAGGCGTAGTCAGTCATTTCGGCTGGTGCCCGCGTGCTCCGCAAACTTTTGCTTCCTACCGTACCTAACAAGCAGTCTATCGGCCAGCCGCTTCACTCCAGCTCTCCAATCACTTAATTTCGCCAGATGCGTCACAGAGCCATAATGGGTTGCTTGTATTTGTTATTTTAAGTTGCATGTAACTCTCAAAAATAACGTAAATTTTCGAAAAACGAATTTTCTGTTCATGTTCCCACATTTTACGAAGTCTCTTTCCGTCCAGGTTTCAAACCAATTTAAAATTTGGTGGTGGGCCTTTTCGATGTAATATTTTGAAGTTGATATGTGGTTGGAAGCAGTCAAAAAGTAAGCAGAAAGCTATAAAATGTAGTAATTTTTGAATGCCAGACGCCAGAAGCTTACATTCATTAAGCACTTTCCTTCTACTTAGCATCGGATAAACAGTCTAAAATGACAACCATGCAATACACTCAACCCGCAGTCGCTCACAAGAAGGGATGCTGTAGGTGAGAAGTTAACTTCAAATATGGGTAGGGTCTTTTCCTCGTTTCGCATAGTTGCCATCGGCGATTTTAGCATCAGCCGCAGTCATGTCGGAGATGTAAAGTAGCCAGCCTCGATTCTGCAAGTAGCTGCATTACAAGCCGGTCATGTAGACGAAAATGCCGAAGTGCTAACAAAATGTATGACCAAAGGTGGGTGCAAGCAATAATGACAGCACACTGGGCATCGCCTGAGCATTCCATGCCACGCACTAACCGACAAAGCTAAAATTTTCCCACACGTTTTTCATCACAGTTGGCAAAGCTTTTCTTCAAGCTGGTCGGCAATGTGCCCCGTTATGCTTAATATCCCGCATCGCAAAAGCACAAAAGCAAGAAATAATACTGACGGGGGGAGGGCACATTTCCGTAGCAGACCATGGTTTATTCTCACTCTACCTGCACGATACACCGGCAGCCTGTTTCCATAAAACTAACACAAAAGCCCAAGCCCCCTCCCCTCTTTTAATCAGGACGGGCTCATTCAGACTTATGTGGAAATACCTTGAAGTTCTTGATTATATCCTGATTGTTTCCACCTTTCACTTTGCAAAGTACTACAGGCCGCTTAATATGTGTCTTTGGCCTGCTCACCCTCTTATGCATCGACATATGTAGAGTGGTATTTATTTTTTTATTGTCCAATGTGTCAATTCCGAACATGCCAAGTCAATCGATGAGCTAGCCCGTAAATGTCGGGTTATTCCACGCGGATCAATGCACTGCTGAATGTGCGCAACATCCTGAACGTTAAAATAATGGCTTCTCAAGAAGACCGCCTAAAGAAGCGCAAAAAATACAAGGACGAAGAAGTGGACAGAAAAGAGCGCACTCGCAACTGGTTTTTATTTCTGAAAACAATCATATATGTAACTTCAAACTAACACATACTGTCTCCTAAAACCTGTTTAACCCCCGTATAGTAAGAAGGAATCGTCGTTCTCAAGAAGTTCGCGAATTACGCCCCCCCCCCCCCCCCCCCCCCCCAGCTTTGGTTTTCCCTCCCATTTCGAATTTTCCTCAGCTTTAAAATTAAGAAGCAAGGCAGCTTTGTTCACTAGATTTGAATGAGTTACTTTTGAAGACGAAAAAATTGTTCGATTAATATTTGGTAGATTAAAACAGTCTTTTTTTTTTTCGAAACTACAGAGACGAAATGTCTCGTCCCCGTTCTCTATCTGGTGAATTGGGTTTTACTTAGTAGGCTTGTTTTCCAAAGAGCTCGTTTTGTCTTCGTGGTCGTGAACACGTACGGACGTGTATTCGCGAACAATAACTACGTTTTTTACGATCTCCGGGGATATTGGTGACTGTTCATTAAATGCGGAGCATGTATATCTTTCCTCATTATTCCAAATCGGGTGTATTTAGCCACCAAATATTACCCATATACACCTATTTTGCTAACACTGTAGGGCAGCGCTTCCGTAGGGCTCTGCTTAGGATCTCTTGTTATCAGGGTTATTTTCCTTCAAATTGAAGGGGGGGAGGGGCGGTCTTTACGAGATAAATTGTTTTGGAAAACGGTGCTTTTCGTTGCTTATTTTCAGTGCCAGGCGAAACATCTGGGTATATCGTGGCTGAAGTTATGCAGCAATTGCATATTTAAAAAAAAAAAAAAAAGTTGAGACCCCAAATAACTTCAATTCCCCTCCGTATCCTCTTTACTTCAGAGTCTATGGAACATACGTCTATGACCCAAATAATTGAAAAACTTCATCCCTTCAACGAAGACAAAAGAAGATGGGGCAAGGGACCTGGTTCGCAAACAAATAGGCAACCTCAAGGACGGTTATAACAAATTGTGTTAAAAAAAAAAAGAAAAAAGAAAAGGAACAAAAAAGTTTTGCTGTTAATTTTTTTTAATGAAAACCGGAGACTTTCATGTTCTATAGTTGCTGCGATACGATGTTTTTATAATAATAATAATAATAATAATAATAATAATAATAAAATAAAAATATCTTCATTTGGCTCTGGAGAGCCGCGACACCGCGGAAAAGCAACAGCGCGTACCATGGAGGCCTGCAATGCCGCTTCTAATGAACATGATAATGAGATGAGTGTATGCTTGCAAGATGACGACAAGAATGATTGCTGTTATTGCAGAGGGTGACAGTCCGATTTGCAGACGTCCAGATTTCGTTGAGGCGGGGCAGCAGCGAGCCACGGTGATCTCGCACGCCGTTCGATCGGTGTATGTAGCACAAAAGAGCCCTAGGAGCTTGGTGGTACTGTTGCTCACTGGGTTTGAATCATCAGGCTCCCAAGAGGTAACCCAGTCAAAGTAGAATGCTCCCGCCTCCGAGGCACCGAGGCTAAGGGCTCATACTGAGACACCGCCGTCTCCAGGTCTGACATCCTCTCAACGTCCTCAATGTTTTCCCCGATTTCAAGAAACAACATCCCAAGGTGTTTTATAGGGGTGTATTGGTATCTAATGAAAACATGGAATCATAGCTATGACTGAGAAATGTAAAAGCCAGTAATGGGGGGGGGGTCGAATGTGTGATACGCTTAATAATAATAGACAAACATCGTCGTTTGGTAGCAATATGCAAGAATGTCGCTTTTAGACCTAACTAATCTAGCGCATACCATGAAAGTTTGATTTGTGCTATTGTTAAATTAAAAGGTATCGCAGCTTTTTTATTGACTGACTCATAAGCAATGAAATAAAATTTATAAGTAATTCTACAGAAAGGTCAAAAATATCCATCAAATTTGGGGCTTTACGTGCCAAACCAACAGAGATCTTCTGGCTTGATTCAGCACGCCCCAGTGGAAGACTAAGAATTAATTTTGACTACTTTGGGATCTTTCGACGTACAACCAAAATCTCCTTTACAAGACGACTTGTACGCAATAGGTCTCCATATGATTGCGGTCACCTTGGGCAGTATTCAAACCCGCCAACTGCGAATCAGAAGGCCGCCACTTTGTTTCGGAGGCGCCGAGGCGGCAAAGTTAAAATTATGAACACCATTTTTAAAGTATACAGTTGTGTGATACGAGAGGGTTGTTTAGGGACTAGATGTAGAAACGCGAGAATATTTAAATTTTCAAGATGTTACGTACCACTTATAATTGTTGCCTTCAAGACGTAGCATAAATGGCGTTCCTGAACTTCGAACTCAACTCTCTTTGGGTATCTACCTGCAAAGATTCATGCATCTAATTAGTCATTGATCATCAAATACAGAATAATTGGTACAAGCCCAGCTTGGAAGACCCTAGTTATGTTGCTCAACAAGGCTTTCACTGGCCGTTTTTCAGAGGTTACACTTTTCCCTTAAAAATTGCATGTTGGTAAGCTTCATTTCATCACGAAGAAAGAATTATTTTATATGCTTACTGGGAATTTCTCGAATAAATTTGAATATAGAATATTTTTAGCTGCGAATGCATTTTCAGATTTTGTCAGTGTTATTCGAGTACGCACTTCATTCACTTCATTTCAATTACAACATTGCATTTCATTCGCTCTCTTGAAAACATATTTGGAGCTTTTATTTTTTTACAATATTATCAACTCCATGCAAAATATATATTAAAAAAAAACATTTCCAAACTTATATCAGCATGCTTAAAATAGATATTTCATTCATACCCTTCTTGCATGACTTTGAAAAGATCAAAATCAGAGTGTTTCGAAGTTTGTTTTCATTTGATTTTTTATGCTCGAGTTCTATTCTTTTAACGTGCCTGAAATTTCATTCATTATGAGTTCAGAGAGTGGTATTTTACGGTGTAAAGTAAGACGAACATTAACCTTACCTGTTTCCGTCAGTTGTCTTATAGTGCGCCCAGAGTTCACCAAAACTGCTTGTTTCCTCTTGAGAATATAAGAACTGAAGTGTCAAGCAGGTTGCGGGAGAGTCATTGAGTATTAAGCTTTCAGAATTGTACACATAGTCAAACATTCTTCCGTGAACCTCCCCGAGCATCTGGAAATAAAAAGAAGTGCAACACGTGTTTTATAAACTGTTTTTGTCCCTTAACTCGGCGTGTAACACATTTTTTTAAGTCAGATTTTTATTTGTAAACTTTTGATTCGTATTTTCCGTCTATCTTTTGACTACTCGGTGTTTCCACGCGAGATCATGCAATGATGGTCCGGGTCATAGCTTTTTTAGCTATGTAAAAAGTTTATCTTAAAGCCATATTCTTGGGAGGAGCATTCAGCTATATGCGAAAGCCGAAGCTCATTTTCTTCCCGAGGTATAAAATTTTGAAGCTCGAGGCGGGGAGATTGCCAAGGTTTCACTATGGTGCATCGCACAGCCGTCAATTTTACACCTAAGCATGCACATAGTAGTAATATTTCCTACTTCTTTTACGAAAGCTGTACGACATGTACACATAATATTAATAATTACAGCATTATATTTACCTGCAAAAATATTTATGGAACATGTCGAGTACACACGTTTTAGAGACACATTCACAAATTATTACCACGTAACTACTTTATTTAAAACGGTGCACAATTTAGCAAAATTATAATCTTTAAATGCGTTTTACGTATATATAAGACACATACGCTTATCTAATATTGTAGGGTTGTTATTAATGAAGAGACGCAGCCCATTTTTCTAAATAAGGAAAATTGCACGTCAATATTTAAAAAAAAACACTCTGAAGTTCTTATTTTTCATTAACTTTTCTTAACGTTTACAGTGACCTGAACTAACTTGTGATGGCAAAACATTTAGTAACATATGACCTCCTTTAAGATGAAAACGACCACAAACCTTTACTCAAATTGAGCTAGCTTGTCTCCGTTAAGGGTGCTTCGCCGCGCGACGTCGGCCGCAAAAAGATTTTTTTTTTTTTTTTATAACCGACAAAGGTTTTACAGCGACGCTGCTCTGTAGTATGAAGTACAGAAAATTATGGTGTCGCTAGTTGAGCTTTTTATTTGTTTCCTTGCGTTGCCGTCGAACGCTCCACCTTCAACCTCCCCCTCCCCCCCTCCCCTATTAGAACACGTTCAAAGTGAGCGTATTTTACTGAGCGCCGTAAATGCTGCGGATTTCTGGTATCTCTATACTGTGAAGGATTTAAAAGTTTTCAATTATGCTTACCATGTTTCTAACTGAAATGGTACCTTTAAATATATTCATTGTAAAGTCACTAAACGTAATTATGAACCTAATTATATCAAACACAGATTTCTTCCTAAATTTGCTCTTTGTCAGGAACTAATTTTACATAAACCCTTCTTTATTTTTGGTGCGATGCGTACCTTTCACAGAAACGAATTGGTCCGCGTTTTGTGACACGCCCTGTGTGTATAGCTGAGTGATTCTCCCGAGGACATGACTTTCATATAGTCTATATCTTACAGAAATATGCAAAATATGACCCGGACCACCACTGTATCAACTGACACAGAAACACCGAACGACAAAACGCTTGAGGTTATCAAGTTGTATCTGAATTCCATTGGGTACGCGTGAATACTTAGAAAGGGTAAGCTGGCTTGTTTGTCGTCAGATAATGTTGAACACCGAGATAACGCTTCTCCAGATCTACTACTTCCCTCGCCTTGTTTTCTCGGTCTCGGCAATGTGCTGTGCCTCCAGCTCTCAACTGCCGGCAACAGTGTCGTCTGCCGATAGTCCTTCGTGAGATAATGGGAAGTGGAGAGGGAGGAAAGGGGGGGGGGGAGTTTAGGAGGCAACGAAATGGAAACACAAATATAAAGCTAGCTAAGCTAGTGACAGCATGACTTTTTGTAAGCTGCGATAAAACAGCACCAATGTACAGCCTTTGTCGGTTGTCAAATATGTCTTCTTGGATCAGACATCGTGCGGCAAAGCCCCTATAACGAAGACAAACTACCGCAATTCGAGAGCAGGTTTGTTGTCGCTTTTCTCTTAAAGACATCATGTGTTACTCATTGTTTTGCTATCAAAAGTTATTTAAAGCCACTGTAACCGGTTAAGGAGAGTTTAAAAAAAAGTTGAACTTCTTTTAAATATTGACGAGAACTTTAGCGACATTTAGAGAAATGAACAGCGTTTCTTCATCAATAAAAGAACTACACTAATAGATAAGCATAGTTTTATACATTTGTATAATGCATTTAACGACGATAATTTGGATATATTTTGAGTCGTTTTAATTAAGTAGTTCGTTTAAAATAATTTGTGAATATGCCTGTATAACGTGTTTATTTGACGTGTTTTGCAAATTTTCTTGCACAGAAATCTTTTATTGTATTTTTAATATTTTGTGTAAATGTAAATATTTAACAAAATAAGCGGAAAAAAATTATTACTACGTGCATGCTTCAGTGTGAAATTGACGGCTGTGCAAACTACCATAGCGAAACCTTGGCAATATTCTCGCCTAAGGATTCTAAATTTTATATCTCTGAAAGAAAATTAGCTACGACGTTTGCGTATTGGTGACGAGATGCTCTGGTGGCGCCATATCGCGGACGCCCTCCTGTGACGGAGCTGGTAGTATACGAGCAGACGACGCGCTATGTCGAAGCACGGAGTGGCTATGTTAGTTCGGACCTGTGGAGGCTCCTGTGGAAAAAAAAAAGGTTTTGCATTCACCAGAGTAAATGACGTGCTGTCATCGGAGTTGTGCACGCGCGCACAGTTACGTTGCAAAACGCCGCACACTTGTTTTAGCTACACTAAGCTTACCGATACTAACGCTTTTATCCAAGTAAGACTTGAGTGTTGCTAAAGAGCAAATGCTCGTCGGAAAGTGACGCTTAGCGCCTCCCGTATCGAATACCTGGCAAAAAAGTTTGTCACATCGCGACTTCTGCTCGAAAAAAAAGCATACATTTTCATAACTTCTTAAATTGTTGGACATGGCCCGACAAAATCAGGCGATTGCTTAATTTGTTATATCTAATTTTTACTAAGCATGTTTACAAGTTTAAAAGCCCTCGCTGAGACGCGTATCACGCTTTAGGCGCATTTGGGTACGCAAAATTAATCATACAGCCAGTAGTATTTTATAGCAGGTGTATACCTCATTTCTTGGGACACTGAAGTGTCACCGGCTTATTAGATTTAAGACATCGATGGCGAGGGTGTCTCGCACGTTTTGCGTTGACCGGGCGAATAAGCAGGGATTTAATTGAGAAGACTCCGAAAGCCAGCCACCACTTCTTTCTGCCAGTTTTTTAAGACAACAAATAAAACAAACGAATAAGAGACCAGCACTCACAAAACATATTAGAACCAACAGTATACACGAAGTCGCTTTCACTGAAGTGTTTACCACACGCACGAGTGGTTCTCAAATTTCGCTTTCTTGTTTTCAATTTGATGAGACATTCCTTTCTCAGTTTGATTTTGCACGAATTGAATCATAATGAAAAAAAAGATACACCCTATTCGCCGTGGTGGATGTTGTGGTTTGATAAAGCGCTGGATATTCTATTTCCATCATCCAGCTTTCTGCATTGGGGTAGAGAACAGCACAACACAATCCCATCGCTTCAACACATCAGCGCCAAAATGCTTGTTAGCACGACTACTCGTGCCACGGTTTCAAGCTTTGGTAAATTATCCCACTACAAATATCACTTCACCAAATAGACACAACGCGTGAAACCATCTTTGCCGCGTGTTACTCAAACAGCGCCAGGAGCGAGCTGACCAGCCGAGGGATCCAAGATCTGCGCAGTCTGTCTTAGTCGGTCTTACTCATGACGTCACAAACGATGATGATGATAGCTAGAGAAACGCCCTTTGTAGTTCGCGCACGCCGCCAATAGCTGAATGCTTCTGCCAAGAACATGGCTTTAACATTTAGTTTTTGTACATAAGTATACAAAAAATATGACCCGGACCGTTATTGATGATCTGACGCAGAAACAGCGTATTATATTAATGGAATAAGACTATGACGCTGAAGACACAAAAACAAAAATTAAAGCGCATATAATGCTCATTTATATTTATTAAGTTTAAGATATGAATGAGCCGATTTCCCGTGTGAAACCCAAACTCATGATTTTTATTAAAGCAACAATTTCATCTTATAGAGTATTTCTAACGATTGGGTTTTTAAAGCTTTGCCGGCTAATTTACCCGAGTGACCAGGGACACTTGTGGGTGATAAATATTTTAGAAAGTGTTAGCATTAAAAAGGTATCTTTAATTTATAAATAAAAGTTAAGTTGAAAAGTTATCTATTGAAACATTGTCGTGTCGATTGACATAAACCACAGATAACGGCCGTAGCGCTTCACATTTTAATAATTATAGAATCCTAAATTCTCAAGTGTAAACTTGGTCGCCCATTGTTTCTTCATTAAACCAGAAGCTACCTGGTTGAACAGTGTTTTTTCATTACTACTAGCAGACACACAAAGTTAGCAATTTTGCCCATATATAGTTAATCGAAATACGGTGGTAGGGGGTTACTTAGAGTTACCTTAGACAATGTAGTGTGCAAACACACTAAATTTGAGACTCGCTTTAATGTTTCAACTGGCCTTAAAAATTAAGCCTTTTTTTTTTCTTGAGTATATTCATTTTAGCTGTAAAACCTTTTCACAGCGGACACATTTAGTGTCCCTTTCCTGCGAAATCACGCGGCGTCCGTCTGCAAACATCCACGTGACCGCGGGGCGCGTGCCACCTCATTGAGCGCGCGGGTACTCTATCACGCCAAGATCTGACTTTAATGATTAGTGGGTAGACGGAAAGCGAACTGCTCTTTCCTCTACTCACTGTTTGAAAGCGTTTAAACGCGAACACTGAACGCTGGATGCCGTCGTTTGGCATTCGAAAGCGTTCGAAGAGTGAGCAGAGACAAAGGTAGCTAGCTTTGCTTTTACTGACTAATTATTCCAGTCATAGCTCTGTGCTCTAGCGTCCACCGCCCGCTCTCGTCTCCCCCACTTTCTTTTTTTTTTTTTCAGTTCCTGGACACATTTCTCTCCCCCACAGCCATTGCCTCTCGC